TGCTTAACTGAACAGATAAATATGGTACAGCCCAATTCCTGGATCAGCCAACTCTCTGAAGTTATTTCATGACATGGGTTTTCCATTCAGCATCTGCTTTCAACAGCCTCTCAGGCAAGGGAAATTTTTAAACAGAGTCCTAGATATTAGTGCGCAAACTAACATGGAATTATTGACTAAAAATAGATCCTTAAGACAGTTGGCTAAAAATAAGATTACTTTTCAACCTGAAAAATATCTATCAATGAGTCTGCCACAATTTTTAAGAAAGGCGTATTCGAGAGCTAGATTTGAGTTGATGGATTCCATGGCCAAATATGGGTGTTTCTACCACTTGCCATATCATGAGAGAACCTGCATATGCGGTTCACCAGCCATTGAAAATATTTTCCATATTTTGTTCAGTTGCCAATTATATGCACTCATTAGGCTTAAATATTTATCATCCTTATTGGAAAGAACAGCATACTGGGATCCAAAGCATAGGATTCATAGCATTAGAACTCCTGGGTTCTAATGTGCACATTGTATGTACACGTTTATAACTAAGGCAGCAGTCATAAGAACCCAATACATTGAACAAATTGGGGTATCTTGTAAGGGAGATTCATTTATCTGATTACTGACTCTTTGTATTATCACATATGTATTTCATTACTGTATCTTCTATCTATTTTCCTTTCTGAAATTAGATTATGCATTGTATTTTACATAATTTTTATTTTATTTTATTGATAAGGTTGTAAGATTAATCAATTAATAATAAACTAATAACTAAACTATTCCATGAATATGGAACCCTTTTTGGATTAAGATCCACCCATAAATTTGGGGAAGGTACTGAGAGACAAAGGTGAAAGTGGATATAGTCAAAATAAAAAGTGAGCATATCCAAAGAAGGGGAAAAAAACATTTAAAAAGCATTTTAAAAACCTCCAAACACTCCATCTAGTCAATATATTTAATATTCTTTTTTTAACATTGTTAAGTATAATGATAGTAATTTATTTGTATAATAATATATGAGTTTCATATATAATATGTACATGAAATATATGTCTGCATGTGTGTATAAATACATACTGTATACCCACACAGCTAATCATCTATTTATTACCTGGATTATGGATTCTTCTTACAATGTGATTATGTGAACTGCCATTACCAACCTCTATGCTTCAAAAACCTTATTGGTAATGAGAGCAGGGCATAAATTTGAAATAAAAAATGTCATATACAACTAGAATATTAGGTTTCCAGTACATACATTTCACAGTACATACCTGTGAGAAATCCATCAGAAGGATGAGCCCTTTCACTACATTTATGGGGTCTCCAGTGGCTGAGAACATTTTAGACATTAAATCACCGTATCCTTGGAAAAAGGTAACTGGACGGAGCTGAACATCAAGCATGATTGCTGACAAGCCAGCAAAGGATTCAAGATTTTCTTCGCCTTCATCTGCAGATGCAGCTATAATGGATTCCAGACCTTGAGCTTCAATTACCACCTAAAGGGAAGCAACAACACATGGCACATATGAAGGCTTACATGTGCATGCAAGTACATTTCGTCCTAAATTCAGCAAGATTATTATATTATTCATCTCCTGTCCATGCCTTCCTACAAATGAGAGGCAACACCAGGCTCTTCTAGATAACTGCTATATTGAAAAGGAAAGGAGACATGGCAACTGTCATCAAAGGACAAGACTAGAAAAAAAAAATAGATGGAAGCTACAGAGGGGCAGATTTTGATTAAGGATGTGGAGAAATCTCATTATGGAAGTTCCTGTTTGACAAGGGAGTAGGCTTTCTTAGATGTCCGCTACCTCTCCTCCACTGGAGGGATTTATGCAGACTGCTTTAGTCATGCATCAGGAACTACAGATCCTTTACTGAGAAGGGTTGGGAGCAAATGATCTCTAGGATCTTTTCTCATTCTATGATTCTATCAAAGTTTGATAGACATAGTTGGGCATTCAAGGTAAGAAAAAGTGCAGCTAAAAGTACAATTATGAAAGATATGGAAACAATCTTCTTTTTTTCCATCTGGCCAATTTATTTTAAATTTAAAAAAAATAAAGAATATAAAGTTATGGAGATACTACCGCAATAAACTCTAGGCCACACCATTAAAGGAGGCTTAGAGTACGCAGGAGACCAGGATCAATCTGTAGCATCACCACTCAAAGATCTAGATGAGGAGGAGGATCTTTACCTCCATAATGAGTTAGGAGGACGATAGTAGCTGTGCATGCTTCCAAGTTGCTTTTGTGAATAGAAGAGGTGTTATGCTTGTGCATGCATATGAATTCTGAAGCAATTCTGAATCATTTGCACAATAAGCATGGTCCTAAACAATAGTTTGATCTTATTTAAGACAGTATCCCATGATCAAGTTGTACTTGATTCAAACTGGAAGCTTTTCTGCTACATTTTTATTCTAGTAATGCATGAGACTTACCTGACTGGCATGAAGTTGAGCAAATTTATTGAAAAGGAAGATATTCATGTTGCTTCTTCTTAAGATGCCTGAACCAGAGTACAGTATATCAAGGCTGTATGTAGATGATATATCTTGGCCACCTTAATTAAACAGAGTTGCATGTTATAATTATTATTTTGGCAAAACAATCAAGAAATGCTAATGTAATCTAGTATTTACTTTGTTCATCACATACGTGTTAGGTAACCAGAGAAAGCCGAAGAAGAACCCATTTTTGAAAATCGGTCATAATTATGAATCAACATGTCCTTCAGAGCTTTACGGATCATTTTGCTGAAAAACAAACATTTCATTTCTATTAGAAAATAATTTTTTCCCCTCTACAATGAAATACCAATAGGTATGTTTTAGTAACAGCATCTGAAACAGAATGATTTGATCCAAAATTCCTACTAAGAACCTTCTTTGGAAATAGAGGTACTAATTTATTTAAGAAATTAATTGGATTAAAGGGGTAGGGTTATTTGCTTAAAGGAACAGTAAAATAACCTCACTTTTACAAACTCCTACTTTTCTATGAATATCATCATGTCACCAATTGTTGGTTCAAATTCTACAGCTCAGTCTGTACGACAATTGTACTTACATTGAGTAATTCTTCTGTAGTGTAAACCTGATTTCTCTGTTATCACAAATGACTTATAGCCAGTGTTCACAATGAAACACAAGCTTGCCAACCACATTTAGCCTACTAAATGTGTAATGTATCCCATGTTGTTACTATTATGTAAATCCAGAAAATTGGTTTAATTTTTTTACACCCATCATGGTAAGCAAGCATACTGTGCTATCACAGCCATTCTATCAAACAGAGAGCTGAGTTAGCATTATGCTAGCTTTAATGTGGATATCCTGACTTTAAAAAAAGTTTTTGTGAGAAAAGATATTTTAACCTTTATATATTTATATTTCTTCCACCCCTACTACTACTACTTAATCATATGAAAACAATTTTTAAAGAATTATTAAATCACTCCAAGATAAGAAAGGAACATGAAATATGACTACTAGCTCACGGTGAACTTAAAAAACTATGCTTTTTCTCCCAGTATAAATGTGATGAAAGTGGTGGGAGTACTTCCAAAACAGTCCCATTGTACAAGAGTAATATTTGTGCAGCAATGTTACATAGCAGCACAGTTACATAAATAACAACGACACTTGATATACCTGGCAGGCATTTCAAAACGTAGAATGTCCTGGACTATTGAAAGCATGTACTTATTCATTTCCAGTGGCAACTCTCCAATGGAAAGGAGGAGGTTTTTAACTTCCATGAAGGAAGGATTGCTGCTGAAGATAATAGCAGCAGCTGTGGTTCGTACAGTCTTCTCATGAACCTTATAATTCTGGTGATAAATCCTGTTCATGGTTTTCTTCACCTGGTGGGAATATAATCTGGTCAGTTCCATTGCCAATGAACAACTGGTAGAAGAACAGAAGAAAGGAAAGAAAGACTATCACCAATAAATGAGAACAGATAGGTTTCTGACTTCACATGGTAAACCTTGTGTACTAGGATGGTATAGAATTCAAAAGTATTGTGTCAGGACCAATAACTACCAAGGAATTTGACCTATTCCCTCCAGTTTTCTCAAACTGGAGGAAAAATAATGAGTTCTGATAAACATGTACCTTATTTTGTGGTGGTAGAAAATATTAGGAAATTATGGATTGTGTATCAAACTTGAAAGCTGCAGCGTTAATGGCTAGACAGTCTAGCAATTGCTAGACAGTCTAGCAATATGAGTCCCAAATTTCCAGTTTCTTCTTCACCTTTCTGCAAATTGGACTTCACCCTTGATCACATCTTGTTCATGTTTGTTATGGTAGATATATGAAAAGACCAAAATATGGTTCTTCTTCCAAAAGGTTAAATATATTCCTGCCCGTATCTAGAGCAATCAATGAGACCATGAGTCACCCTTCAAGATAAGGTGGGTAACAACTCCCAGCCCAACACATCTGGAATGTGCAGGATTTGACATAAGAGTTACTTCTCACACTGATGTAAGTGGTTTTAGTTATCAAAACAGTGAACAAATACAAACTGTTCCTTTGTCACAAAAGAGGGAGGCATCCAGACCTTTGCATAGAAAATGCAGAAATGGACAAGAAGTTTACAGTTTAAATTTGCCTACATATAGGTGCCTCATAATCCTCACTGGAATTCTTTTTTTTTTTTTTAGTATTTTTAGTATTTCTAATAAATATTACTTTCACCTTTTACCTTCTGTTTAATAAACTTTTATCTTCCTTCTAATAGAGGGAATTAATCAGACCTTTTTGATTCTCATTCTTTGGATTAAATGTATCCATCCAGATTGCAAGGAGGAAAATTTGAAAGTGAGCTGGTTGTCCAAGGATTACCTTGCCTGCAGCTTTTGCCAATTTGGATGTAGAAAATTGTAAAACAAGAGTTGGCAATATGGGACCTGTAATAACTCCAGACAGCATATATAAACTGTTCAAGTTGTGTTCAAATTACATTTTTAATTACAAGAATTTTTAACTCTCACATGAGATCACCAAAATTCCATAAGGTTTTAAGTAAAAGCATCTATAGCTCAAGATTTCAAAGTTCTTAAGATTTGATGATCCAGCCAAATTGGGGGTAATTTTCTGGAAGGGCACAATGACAGCAGGTGCTTAAAAAGGTTGCTGATATAAAAAACTTAAATGTATATTCAGCAGTCTCTTGGATTTTGCATGAGAACCCCATAATTTTTGTGGGTTCTTCAGTAAGATATACATATGTATGTACAACTTCACTCACTAAATGAAGCACCATCTGATAAGAGGGCAGCATCTGATACTCTTAAAGACCTCATCTACTTTTTATTTACCTCGGTGGTGATGGATGAATGATCATATCTCTGTAAAGCAGTAACAGCAATGTTGCTGATAGGTCCTTCTCCTGACTCAGCGTATTTCAGCAGCATAGGAACAGCTTCTGGCAAAAGGGCATTCTTCAGTGCCAAAAGGAACATCTTCACATCATCAGCTTTATCTGCCCTGTTCAAGCCTTGGAATATCAGTTTCTTGGCTTCCACAACAGCCTGGAAAGAATCCACCCCCACCGCACTATATTAATAGTACATCGAAAAGAATCTAGGAGAACCTGCTGTAGTAAAATGAGGAGCACTTTAAAAAACTAGGAATCAAGAACCAATATATTATGCTTTATTACGAGTCATCCATTGAGCTTTCTTGTTGGATTTGATGAATCTAGTAAGGTATTCGTTCATAATATTATGAATAGGAAATTGATTATGGTTTAAACCCTTGGATATGAGGTTGCTGGAAAGCATCTTCAGGGCAGGATGGGCAAACACTTTTCTACCAAGGGCTGCATTCCCTCAGGAGCCTTCGGTAAGGCCCTAGATGGAGGGGAGGCACGATGGCATGCGGGAATGCCACTGGGGGACGGGGGAAGAACTGCAGCCAGGACAATGGTTGGACAAGTGGCAGCTGAGCCTCAGAAAGAATGGGGACATGGCAAACATCTCAGAAGCGACCCTCCATAGTTTCTTGGGCTGTAAAGGCGACGGGGAGAGATGTGCTTTCAGACTTGCAAGATCCTGTTAATTCAACCTTACAGTAAACTAGAGCTAGTAATTCTGGGTGTGCTTCTTGGCTGGACTACTTGCAAGGCTGACAGGAGGGCTGAAGCAGGTACCCAGTGTGAGTGAGTGTTCATTCTCCATCTCTTCCTTTTATTCTCTTTCTGCCAACCCCTTCTCTCTCCCAAGTAACAGGCTATGGGAAAAGGGCAACATCTCTTTCCAGAGGTTGAAGTGATCTTGTGCAGAGGGCTTTTGAAATTCTTCCAAAAGCCACATGTGGGTTGCAGATTGTCCATATCTAATTTGGGATGGGAGTGGGGGAGGTGAAGCAACCATCTGTGAGCTATTTTAAGAGCAAAATACTATTGTGGCTGCTACTATGGGCCTTTTATATATAGCACTGATAGCATGCCATTGTACTCTGCAGTATATGGAAGTGACACGATCCTTCACCCAGTCACCATACTAGTCTTCATTGGATGGATAACATTGCAGCAGTAGACAAGCAAGGGAAAGAGAAAGCAGAAAGAGGCTGACACAATTAGAAGAGAAGAAGGGCAAGAGATAATGAAGAATCAGGGAAAGCAAAATAAGAATTATTTGGCTCTTAAGGGGCTTAAATGGAACAAAGGAAAGGGAAATTGTCTGAGGCACAGAGAAGGGAAGGTTCTTCCAAGCAAACAGGGAGATAATAGATGGAGTCAGCAATAGTTAGAGGAACTTAGATGAAGCTTCACATTTGCATTAAGTGCCTATTGCATTATTGTGTCATCAATTCTTAAAATGTTACTTGTAGGAACCAGAAAACACATACGGGCAGTTTGCAGCCTCCCACGTTGCACAGCTTTCTGATGAGTGCTCCTGCGATAATAACGACCATTTCTCTGATTTCACTGCTACCAATTGGGCTCCTGTATGTATTCTGTTGTATTAAAAAAGACAACGGTATCAGCATTGGTCCCTTAAATTTAACATGTAGAAATGTCTATGATCCCCTTGGGCGAGTTTGCACAAACCTTTTTCCTTGAAAGTTGGCTTACAAAAAGCTAGCATGACCCAGTCTACTGGTTTTCTGTAAGGCTTTAAAGACCTTGGTTCTATTATTAAACCTGGGGCCTGAGTATGTAGTTGAGCCCATATCATGGTTATGTTGATTGTACTGTTTGGTTTTATCTCAGCTGCTATATTTGTTATTTATTGTTTGGTTATGTCTTTATCTTGTTTTTATTTCCTGGTAGCTGCCGAGACCTAGGTTTGAGATGAGCGGCCATCTAAATTGAATAAATAAATAAAATAAATAAATGACACCTAACCTGATGTTCCAAATCCTGTTATGGCTGGAGGGAATAATGCTCCTTATTCAAGAAGGATCAACCTTCCCGCCAACATGCTATAAAATGTTGTCTCATTTTATAAAATAGCCAGTGATTTGGACAAATATTTCCCATGAAGAGTTGCAGCATTTCTGCTGAACGGGGAGGGATAAACGATAGAATGGTATCCACTTCATCACAAGGAAATAGCCCAATCTACTGCTCCATAGAGCAGCTTTTGGCTCTAACCATGACAAGTTTTAAAATGGTATTTTTAATTAAGACTCACAAATGGGAGAACAAAAATAATCAGCATTGCAGTGTGAAAGGAGGGGAAATTTAAACGTAACCCGTCTCAATCTAACTTGAATAAGCATCTCTCTCTCCACATTGGAGTTAGCAGTAGGGGGGAGAAAACCCCATTAATTAGCGCCCATCAAACATGTTTTCTTAACGCTCATTGCATGTCAGGAAGAGGAGGAATTTTTAGCCCCACCCATTTTTTATGTGCATCACCCCTGATGGTGCTGATTTTTTTGAATTCCAAAAAGCACTTATTTAGCCTTACTCAAACGTTTTTACTTTCATTATTATTTTTACCATGTGGCTAATGGTACTTAGTACAAAGATACTAAGTACAGCCCAAACCAAAGGGGGCTTATTCAGAAGCTAGTCTCATTTGATTCAAAGAAGTTCACTTCCAGGTGGGAGCAGAGCATCATTTGATTTCAAAAGCTCATGTCCAGCTCTTCAGAAAAGGATGGGTCAATCTCTTTTCTCAGAAAAAATTATGCTCTTAAAACTGAAGTAAATAGTGTTTCCTTGGCTGCCCCTGGTAACTTACAATTAAGGATCTGAGTAATAACTCATTGGGTTGAGAAGCAAAACCAGAAGCATAGAGAAACCGTTCCTGAAGGAGAGATCCACTCTTGTTCTTGAAATCCAGAAAATCCAACATCGCTTCCAGAGAGGCTGAGGTGTATGTGGAAGCCACAGCATCAACTAGCTGAGGACTGTGTGTAGGCCAAGGAGAGAAATAAGAAGTTAATAATTATTTAGTTTAAAACACATTGCTATTGCTGTGTCATCCTGCATTTTTGATAAGTGTATTGGATTACAGGTAGTCCTTACTTAACGACTACTTATTCAGCAACTGTTTGAAGTTACAACAGCGCTGAACAAGGAGACCGTAGGAAGTCCTCGTAGTTGTGGGTGTTGTAGCAGCCCTGCAGTCATGTGATCATGATTCTGGTGCTTGGCAACTAGCTTGCAATTACAATGGTCGCAGTGTCCTGCTGTCATGATTGCCATTTGCAACCTTCTCTGCTGGCTTCTGACAAGCAAAGTGAACGGGGAAGCTGGAAGGAGGGGGCAAATGGTGATCACATGACATTGCACTTTATGACCACATCATTTAGCGATGGAGTTGCTGGTCTAAATTACCATTGTTAAGTGTGGACTATCTGTAGAATGTTTCATGTTACTATTCAGTTTGAGCAGCTACACAACAGGTTTGTGCAACACTAGCTTCTGTAAAAAAATCCAGAGAACACTAGATGGCAGCAAAAGGTTAGCATTTCTTTACGTCTCTTTCTGCCATCTACTGGTTATGCATATTTTTGCAATTCAAAACTGCTTGAGTCTAAAGTTAGATCTGAAACCAGGGTAATAAGGCTCGGTTAACAATGGAATTATTTAATAGTAATATTAGCTGGCTTACTACTAATTTATTTATGGCTTATTCAGGAAAGAAATATAGAAAACCCTGATCTTTGCTGCATGGCTAGTAGGTGTCCAGATTTTTCAAGCCCTGGCACCTAGATTTATCCCTTAGGTGCTATTAAAGCAAGAATTAGCTTGCCTTAATAATCGGAACAGAAAATTCTACAATTCCGCATATTCTGCATCCGGTCTCAACTGGTGCTCAGAGACTGAAGTTGTCATATCCAAATGTAGGAAGGCAACTGTCACGATAAAAGATCTCCAGATAGTGCTACTGGTGCAAGTACATAGTAGCTTGAAAACAGTGCATATTGTGCTAACAAGCAAGACCCACAACAGTGCTTGCTCATATTGGCCATAATAGATCTAATCCTATATAATTCTACATAATGTGGTAAATCTTCCTTCAGTGCTTATGGAAATCTAAAATGGACATGTTACAGCTGAAAGAGTAAAACCCATTGCCAGCAACTCACAGTATTTCTGTATTATTTTCATTTCTCAGTAGCTGAAAGATTTCTTCTTTTGTTGCTTTCTTCAGGTTCTGAACAAAGGCCAAAAATCCTTTTGCAGCATCAGCTTTTGAAAGATTCTCTGGTTCAAGCTGCTTTTGGATGGCTATCCACTGCTGAAAGAGCTGCCAAAAAGAAACCCAGCTTGAACTTTTGCTGGTAGCTAGAAAGGTTTGTCCCCTATGTGCCGCTTGTGACGGCCTAAAATATTACCTCCTGTCTTCTGATAAGATCTGAAAGGTCAAATCCACTGTAGCTTTAGCCTGGATTTCTAAAGGAGGACCTGACCTGTTGATCCCACCAGGCCCCTCATGCAAGACTTTATCATTTCTTTCAGAGAAATCAGAAGGACCAAATGAGAAAGTAAACCTGATGTGATCAGAAAGCAACATTTGTGGGGAAGATGCTTTCAGAAATTTCTTGAAAGGACAGAGGATGTATGACTTTTCCAATTTTAATAATACTTGGTCAAATTTCAGAATACCAGACAGTGTTGTGTCCATCTTGCCTTGCCTTTTAAAAGACAATTAGATCTATCAATTGCTTCAGCAGGTCTTTGGTTTCTTATTAACTGTTGCATATATAGACTAGGGCCATGTTTGTAGGCATTACACTGTACATAGTAGTGTCCACTCAAGTCTCTCAACAGTTTACAATAAAAAGAAGGGGGGGGG